TGAACTATTCGCACGCCATGTATATAATGGCAACATGACAAAGCAACAAGTCAGGAGATTAATCAATGTTTATTGAATTCAATTGAGACCATTGCACGTTCGTCAAGTTGCGGCCAATAAAAGTTATTAAAACATGATCGTTACATTCGTTGAACAATGATGAGAAAATGAGAGTGCTTATAAGTAATTATTGAAATAATTTCGAGTGTCCTGTTCTTGTCTAATAAATACAAATGTCAATTAATAAAATTAGTAACGAAAATCCCGAGAACAGCAGCAATATAAAATTATATTTAATGATGTCAAAGTCCATTATATTAGCATTCTCTAGATTATTTTTTTTTTTAGAAAAAGGGGAGAGGAGAGAGAGAGAGAGAGAGAGAGAGAGAGAGAGAGAGAATGTAGATCCTATTTTTTAGATTATTATGCGCTAAATAAATCGTGAAATAAACCAAATTGGCATAATTTCTTAAAACCTTTCTTTCATTACAACTTTTTTTATTATATTACAAATCGAGACATATTTGTAAAATTAATGAACTATCATGATTAGTCTATATATATATATATATATATATATATTGTTACGTACGGCCGTACGTGTTATTTATGATAGGCTGAAGCCCAGATAGCCCAAAACTACGTTTCTAGAAACTTCTAGAAAACCTCCCCTCTTAAGACGCGTAGGAAGTGGTGATGGGAAATGTTACATATGTCGTTTAATATATTGTCGTCAAATACCGCGGTGATTACGATGAAAATAATGTCGAGCTTAGGTATGTCACCGTAGTGTATGAATATGTCCATCAACACGACCGATGGCGGTGGTGGGATCTAAACGACCGATCACCTTGACACTGAGTTGGCAAAGGAGCTAATTCTGATGTCCGAACGAGGGGGGACCATATGTGTTTATCGTGCAATAAGTCACACGTGAGCGATACCTACGCCGAACAATGACGGCGGGATGTTCGCCGGCACACACGTGGTGCCGTGATGTCACGGAATGACGAAGCGAATGCGCGGAATGACGTACCTCACGGCACATTGCACGGGTTCTTACCCCGCGCGCTTAGATCCTCCAGATCGTCCGGATTACACGCGATTGACACGAATTCCAAGAGTGCGATGAATGACCGGCGACGCGACGCGACGCGACGCGAGACGCGAGACTCTGCACGGCGCGCGGCCTTGCTTCGCCATAATCTTACCTTCGTGACGATCGTCGATTTCGAGGAGACGACAATCGTGGAATAAGAAAGTAATCCGATTACATATACGATTAATAATACGATATATTTCGCACGTAGACCATGTAGACCATATCATCAGCTACACGTAAGTGTGTAGTAGTTCTACTATAAATAACAAGCCAACTAAACTAGCACTAACTTCATTAATTAAAATTTCACAATTCTAATTTTAAGATAATATTTTTCACATATAAATAATAAATTCTATTTTGAAAGTAGTAAATAAGCAACGCGAGCACAACAAAGTTAAATGATTCATAAAAGTTCTTATTCCGTCACATTTCACGGTTTCAGTTAATATGACGTTCTAATCGTGAATACAAATGATTTAGAGCATGCTATTTTTAGAAGTATGCAAATAAAAGCCTCGTTACCTACAATACTTAGCAAATACACGCTCCTTATTGGAATTGTAAAGCAAGAAATGCTGCGGTAAACAAACTTCTTTAAAAAACTCCATATGTACAGTTTCTTTCGCCGAATATTTATACATCTAACAGTGGTTATAAAAGAAATGAAAACTTTTTGTGTACAGATAATCTAACAGATTTGATGAGTGACGTTAATTGCATCGCTAGATACCTAAATTTACATGGCATATCCTATTAATAGAATGTAGAACGCTCCAACTTTGAAATAACTCTTATTTGAGAATTTTAAACAATTGTAAATTTGACCTAAATTGTCCAACTAAATGCGGTTGCAATTTAACAGGCTATATATAACGTTTAACGATATGACTATATACGAGATGTAAATTAATTCGTCTATAAGCGAAGGTTTTAGTGAGGTAAGAACGCTCCATTGAATCCGCATTTTTTATATTACCTACTTCAGAATTTTATTTTTTGCATTTGTATACTCGTTTCTTTAATATCTCATTTTCTTTCTCGATTACTGCAAACTACACGCACCGTTTGAATTTCCCGATCCAAAATGATGCCGCGATCGGACCTATAACGCATTACCGCGGTATACCTTGTACATTAAAAAATGTATGAATTCGAAATTGTACCGTGCGTCATGAATGATACACGAAATGATAATGTCACGTGTCAGCCAAGTAGACATAATTTCCAAACATTGGAAAATATTCGATCATCAAGCGAATTTCGGTGGGGGATTTGTCAGCGTTTGTTATAAATAATGCTTCGGTGGAGTCTCGTTCTATGTCGAGTTAACGTATAGCTTCATTAACGGATTATACCGTACCATAATTAGCTATTGCAAATTTGATTCGATAACGTAGTTTTCTCCCTCCCCCGCCTCTCTCTTTCTGTCTCTCCACCCTCGATAAGCGATCATTTTGCCATTACGCCGTCGGGAAAGCGAATCACGTCAAAAAATGGAATTGTGGCCAATCTATTTGTTTCATGATCATATTATCCGTACATTTATAGATTGATCGTGAAAAAATCATATTGCAAACTCATTTACTATAGTAAATCTTTTTTTTCGCCAATCACGCTATTGATCCGTCTAGACTTCATATCAGCGTCTGATGGTAGAGAAATTAAACCACGTACCTGAATTTGTCAATGCAGTATAATCATTTAGATTTGGATAAAAGTGTCGAGCACATTTTCATGTTCGTTCTATTTCTTGCGCAAGCAAGAAGTATTTTCGCTATTAAATCGAAGAAATAAATTCACTGACTTAACTTAGTATATCGACTTTCAGGCAATTAGACTCTTGAAACGTCTAGATCTCGCATTATCGTTAAACAAATCTGACGCACCGAGAATAAACGGTCTGCACTGAAAGGCATCGTACACAAAGGGTTTCATGTACGACGAGATAATAAAAGGGCCGCGATAAAAGTCGTTTTAACTACGCGAACAGATATATCTCTCTCTTGTCTGTTGAGCACTTCGCTTAATTTTCTGCACGATGCAAACGCGAATACCGGTTTGTTCCGCGGGATGTTTAGCGAACTGGCCTTCTTCCTTTTACCCCGTTGGTCGACTTCTATTTTTATGCATCGCCTACGCTACGTCATTCGTCTTTGTGTCTTTGTGACTACGCAACTTGCGTCGCGCGGTCATGGAACTGCTGAGTTGTTATGCAATATAAAACGGTCTCATGTATGTCGGGGACAAACATATAATGACATTTTTGAACATAATTAACATAGATAAAAGAGAATTCTATAAGAAATAAGTATATAAGATGTGTTTGTTGCTATAAAAGTGTACGGAAAGAATGGTTTGGCTAAAGTATCTAAAAATTTAGGTAGATACAGATCTGAAAATAATTTTGTTGCACCATCAAAATAAATATAGTAAATCGCTGAAGTATGATAATAGCGCTGTAAAAAATGTTGACCTTTTAGCAATCAGCTTGAGTGTTGTTTTACATAATTATTTTGATGGTGCAACAAAATTATTTTCAGATCTGTATCTAGCTAAATTAAATTACTTCAGCAGTACCGTTTTTCTGTGTAGCATACGTCATATATTTTTTAAATTCCTGAGACAGAGTCGGGCTTTTTTTCTTGAATATTAAAGAGATATTCTTTAATGAATACAATTTTATAACGTGAATTATGCAATGGAAATAGGAATTACCGATAAGATATTAAAATACGTAGAATTCTGAGGTTGAAAACCAGAAATAACGAGCCCGTTTATGTGATTCATGTTTAATCTGCAGCTTCATCATCAGCTACATCACTTAGGACGCCAGCTGCCCGATAAAAATTCCAATTCCTTGAAAGTCGATACCATATTTCCCAGATTGAGATAAATTATGACATCATAGATGACTACGGGGTTGTAATGTTGCAGCTGCTCCGCCGCGCCGATACGAAAGAAAAATCGTGCTCCCTGGTAGTTCCTAAGTGATTAAATGGCAGCATGTTTTCGCCTAAATTGCGCGAGGAAATACTGGAACAATGATTAATACTTGGCGTTATTATTCCGATATTAGTAATTGCTCACGTTAAATTATCTGAATTTATAATTTATTTTATTGATTATTTTCTTTTCTAGAAAAGCAT